TAGCAGCTACGACTTTGCCCTTTCAGGTAAGTAGCAGCTACGACCTTGACCCTTCATGCATCCTACAGCTACGACTTCGGAACTGTCTAGACTCCTACTCTACAGGTCTACGGTTCGATTCCCTTCTACCCTGTGACCTACGACAATCTACCTACCACTGGTGTTCCTACAGGTCGCAGGTTCAAGTCTACGGGTTGACACTAATACTGTACACAGGTAAGACAGGGAACTAGGGATCGAGCCCTGGGATCTGCATTCGCTACTGCGAATTGGTGAATACCGTTTCACTCCCGCCGGCCTAAATTCGAGGTCCTCCGAGAAAATTTCAGTGCAAGGCAGGACCTTTACCCTTCTGCTGTCTCTCGTAGGCCCGGACTATATCGGGAGCTGTCTCTAGAAGTTCAGATCTTGTAAACCAGCGGTCGTCTTCCGGTTCCTGATAACTAAAATGAACCTTGTACTGTTTCTGTGGACGACCCCTACCTCCAGTTCTGAATACATCTTCAGCCACTATGCCATCGATGTCATACCTTCCATCCATATCCGGCGGTATCATAGATCTACGGGATGGAAACTGATCACTTGTTTGGCAAGGTAACAACTTCGACGCATGGAAAACTGGGTAAGTATGGAGGTGTGCTGGGAGCTCTATTGTATAGGACGGTCCATCTTCGCCGCCCTTGACTTCCAGAACAGGCCACGGTCCTCTATATGTGGGCAGTAACTTCTGCGAGATGTTCTCCTCAGGCGCAAACTCTCTAGAACTGACCCAGACTAAGTCGCCTACTTGAAACTGTGAAGGGCGACGATGTTTATTCGCCTGCTCTATCATCTTATGCTGGGCTTTCCTGAGGTTCTCTACGACAGTAGCTAGTTCTTTCTCGTGCTGTACAGCAAACTCCCTGGTCCCGGATGGCAATCTGTGGATCTGGTCCCGGATGGCAATCTGTGGATCTGGTCCCGGATGGCAATCTGTGGATCTGGTCCCGGTTGAGTCCCTCAAATGGTCTGCGCGGTCTAAAGGACTTGTGCAGTTCGTTGGGAGTGCGGCATGTAGACAGATGCACGTTGTTATTGTACGCAATAGCTACTTTGGGCAACATCTCGTCCCAGTTAATCTGATCTGGCCTAATATACATGCGCAGAACTTGCTGTAGGATCTTGTTCGTTTGCTCTGTCTGACCGTTAGTCTCTGGATGACGGCCGGGCGACATCAACAACTTAGATCCATATACTCCCATGAGCTCTTGCCGGTTCTGGCTAGTAAAGCGACTATCCCTATCGCTAACTATAGACAGTGGGATTCCATACTCGCTCACCCAACAGTCAAAGAATCTTTGTATGACTAAATCAGTACGTGCCTCTGAAGGCAAAGGAACAAAAACTGCGTACTTACTGAAACGGTCAACTATGACCATAACTTGGCTCTTGCCATGCCTACTCTTGACTTGAGTGTCCATGAAATCTATGGACACGGAGTCTCCTGGCTGGTCTGGAATCGGTAAGGGCCTGAGAAGACCTAACGGCGCTCGCGTGCTACTCTTGTTACGCTGGCAAACCTTACAACTGCGAACATACTCTACGCAGTCATTCTTCATCCCGGGCCAGGTATACGCGCGCATCAGATTGGATAAAGTCTTTTGCCAACCGAAATGACCCTCTGTGTCGTGGCATTCCCCCAAAATCAGGCTACGAATCTCTTCACTACTGGGAATGCACAGGCGGTCAAACACATTGGTCTTCTCGAAGAGCAACCCTTCAGTAGTGCGGTAGTTTGGCTCGGTCTCTGGGGCCTCTTTAACTTTCTTAAGGAGGTCACTATAGATAGGGTCCTGCGCGTAGGCCTCTCTAACCTTCTGCTGCAGGTCCTTCCCTATATCGAGATAACGCACTATCGCCCCAAAGTAATCTGCCCTCCTACTCAGAGCGTCCGCAACTACGTTGTACTTCCCTTTGACAGGCTTGAGCTCAAAGTCATACTGATCTATCTCGGCGGCCCACCTGGTAAGCTTAGGTGTCATCTTGGCCTGCGTCTTTAACCATCTCAATGTTTCGTGGTCTGAGTAGACTTTAAAGTGCCTCCCAAGCAAGTAGTGCTTCCAGTGGTCTAACGCTTGCCTGAGAGCGTAGAGTTCCCTCTCATAGGTAGATGTCGCGACCTTCTCTGAAGGCATCYTGGCGGACATGAACTCTACGGGTCTATACCCATTGCCATCGTCTTGCTGTAACACTGCACCTATGCCGTATTGACTCGCATCGGTCGTGATGACAAAAGGCAAGGACGGATCGGCGACTTTAAGGACTAGGTACTCTATTAATGCCTGCTTCAACTTCTTCATGGCAGACGTACAGTCCTTGTCCCACTTCCAGATAGTTTCCTTTCTCAACAGTCTGCGAAGGGGCGCAGCGATGGTAGAGAAGTTCCTCACRAACTTTCTATAGTAATTAGCTAAGCCCAGAAACGAGCRCAACTCTGTCAGCGTACGCGGCGTGGGCCAATCTCTAATCGCTGCGATCTTACTATCTTCAGGCTTAACGCCGTCTCCGTCTAAGACGTGGCCTAGGTACAAAACTTGGGTCTTTGCCCAATCGCACTTCTTTGCGTTGATCTTGAAGTTAGCTTCCCTCAGCTTCTCCAAGACCTGCCTGAGRTGACCCTGATGCTCTTCGAGGGTCCTACTAAACACTAAAATGTCATCCAAGTAAACTACAACAAATCTATCTAACCAAGGCCTGAACAAATCGTTCATACAGCGCTGGAACGTAGCTGGCGCATTGSTTAGTCCGAAGGGCATCACTATGAACTCGTAGTGCCCATATCGAGTCYGGAAGGCTGTCTTATACTGGTCATCAGGATGCACCTCTATCTGATGATATCCGGACTTCAAATCTATCTTGGAGAAGTACTTGGCCCCCTGCACTCGATCTAAGAGATCGTCTATCCTCGGCAGTGGCTCAGCATTCTTCACGGTAATAGCATTCAGACCCCTATAGTCTATGCACATTCTCAACTCTCCCTCTTTCTTAGGAACGAAGAGAACAGGCGCTCCAAAGGGAAATGAACTGGGCCTAATCCAACCCTTCTCGAGGAGCTCGTCCAATTGCTTGTGAAACTCCTCTAACTCCCGCGGGGACATCCTATACACAGCACCCTTAGGAGTTCTACTGCCACGCTCTATCTCGATACAGTGCTGGATGGGCCGCGGCATTGTGCCTGTCGGCGGCTCAGTCAAATCTTTAAATTCCTCCAGCGGCTTGGCAATCGCAGGGTCCATCGGCTTTTCTTCCGTAGGCTCAGTCACTGGCCTAACATAGGCAACAAAAACCTGTTTCTCCAACTTCTCCTTTTTCACCAGTCTGGCGAACGAGGGGGCACTAAGGCAGCAATGCGCCAAGGAATTCTCTACTCCTGACACATGGAAAAGGCGGGCAGTCTTCGCCTCGCCTGAAGAACTAGGGAGCCTACACTCGTGCTCCTTCAGATGGAGCGTGGCCCCGGCTGCCTCTTCCCAATCCATTCCCAGGACAATATCAAATGGGAGGCTGTCTTTTACGAGGAGAGTCAGGGAGTGGAGAACCCTTTCCACCTTCCCATCTTTCTCTGGGCGGAAATACGCCTGGACTCGCTCTACGTAATCCTCTACAACCATAGTACGATTGTCCGCGAGGATACTAACTATAAGGTCCGCTAGCTTTTGGACTTTAAGTCCCAGCTTCAACTTCTGCAACGCTTTCCTACTAATATAGCTGCGGGTGGCCCTTGAGTCTACTAGGGCCCCTACTCTACCTCTAAAAATCTCTGCATCTAATAAGATCAGCTGCCCTTTATTCTCCTTATTCATCTCGGCCCAGGCGAGCCTCCTCTCCTTCAATTCTTCGGCCACGCCCGTGAGGGAGGTGTCTAGAGAGACTCTAACACAAGCAGTCTCTGGGCAGCTATCTAGACACCGGCCTGCAACCTCTGCCATAGGCACATGTGGTGCGGGAGTTTCCTGCCGGCTAACGCTATGTTCCCCACATGGCCTAGTGGTAGGGGCAGTTGCTACCCCTACCGGCGGCTGCCTTTTGGCCCTTGGGCAGTCGTTCGGGTCTCTCGATACTTAGGACAATATTTGATGATGTGGCCCGGGTCACCGCAGAAAATGCACTGGCCCCGGTCCAATCGTTGTTGCCATAAAGTCTGTACCAGACCCAAAGTTTCCCAAGGCCTACCCTGCGGTAGCCCTGGGTGCCATCCTCCTACCCTATAGGGAGACCTATTCCTAGGACACCCATGGTAACCACAATCATAAATTATAACCACCACCATGCCCATAACCATGAGTCCATTACCATAACTTCAACCATAACCATAACCATAACCATAACCATAACCATAACCATGACCATGACCATAACCAGAACCATACCCATAACCAGAACAGTGATGAACATAATCACAACCCACAACAATTTTTACTACACATAACAGCACCACACCCACCACCAACCGCAACCATAACCATAACCATAACCGTAACGATAACCCTGAACAACCCTAAACCAGAAACATATACCATAACGACAACCACGACCAATGACAAAACTATCAAGTACCACGACGACCATCACCACAACCGCAACTCCTGATAATGACAATTGCAATGACCACCGCTATCTGACTAAGAATAATTACCACAATGATCTACAACACCGATAGTGACGATGATGATGACGATGATGATTACAATGCCATGACCATTACGATAACGATGACGATGATGATGACGATGATGATGACAGTGATGATGACGATGATGATGACGATGATGATGACGATGATGATAACGATGATGATGATGATGATAACGATGATGATGATGATGATGATGATGATGATGATGATGATGATGACAACCATAGCCAGCAGGCCCGGAACAAATGCCACAGCTACCAGAGCAGCAGCGGCGGCAGGCACAACAACAACGAAAATAGCAGGAGCAATTACAGCGGCAATGACAACACACCCGTGCCCTCAGCTGCCGCCGATGACATGTTCGTAAACCACCGGAATATAACTACCGACTTCAGTTGGATAGAATGCCCAGTCATTATCGCTGCATCTAGACTGAAAGTTGCCCCAAATACGGGTATATAATGACTGGTGTGAGGAACAAGCTCTCAAGGGGCCCTATCAGACATCACATTGTTCTGGGCTAAGGCCCCAGCAAGCCAAGTGTCCGCCCTAAGTGAAGGCGGGCCTGAATATTCGTCAAAGGCAAAATTCGACATTTCCATATGTGGGTATTCAGGCTCTTGCAGCACGCCAGTTGGTTGGGAAGACGCGTGAGCCTCACATTGCTGCGTCATACAGTTGGCCCAGGCCTTGACAGTTGCGCCTGGGCACACATACACAAAGCAGGGCCGATACATTGGGAAGCAGGCCATCGGCCTTTACAAAGCAGTAGTGCCGACGCACCTGCCTGGGAGCCCTGCACAGATGCAGCAAACAGCCCAAGTCCAGAGACTCAGGCCGTGCCTAACTGCAAAGGGCCCAGGCCCTCAACTGTAGTCTCGGACCTGGGTGCAGGGTCTGGGACCCAGCCGGAAGCTACTGGAAGCTTCCAGCCAGGCCACATGCGGCATCCAGGAGGCTGCCACTTCCACAAAAGGAATGAGGCAGCCCAGGCCAGGCATTCTGGCCAGTGCTGGCAATGCGGAAGTGCTGCTGCGCTCTCGCTTGATGCTGCGCTGCTGCCAAGGGCACTGACGGGGCGTGAGAGGTGTAGTGGGGCGCTGCAGGGCAGCGGGGCGCAGGCAGCCATAGCCGGCCTGCTGGGCGCCAGGGGCTACAGCGGATGATCAGGTGGTCTTCAGGGAAGGAGGCGCTGTGTGGGGTAATCAAGGTCTGATTGAGGGTGGCGAGATACGTACCTGGTACATGAAGAGAGGTCGGCGATGGTGTTGGCAGTCATGTACATTGGTCTTCGTGAGTCGAAGTGATCCTGTTGCGTGAACCAGCTGTAGGTAGGATAGTCGGGTAGAGTAGGCTGGGCGCTGAGCGCCAGACAGAGCAGAGCGACTTTGGATACTGCGTTGGTCTGGCCTACGGGCTTGAACATTGGCTCATTACTTCATTGTATTGCTCTATATGGATGGTTTTTCTCGGTGCATTTGTACTCTCTGCTTGGGACACGACTACTTGGACAGCTGTGTGATTTCGCAATTTGGTTTTATGTATATCGCTCACACTCATATTCCTTGCACTGGGAAGGCGTTCTATTTTGAAACGGTATTCACCAATTCGCAGTAGCGAATGCAGATCCCAGGGCTCGATCCCTAGTTCCCTGTCTTACCTGTGTACAGTATTAGTGTCAACCCGTAGACTTGAACCTGCGACCTGTAGGAACGCCAGTGGTAGGTAGATTGTCGTAGGTCACAGGGTAGAAGKGAATCGAACCGTAGACCTGTAGAGTMGGAGTCTAGACAGTTCCGAAGTCGTAGCTGTAGGATGCATGAAGGGTCAAGGTCGTAGCTGCTACTTACCTGAAAGGGCAAAGTCGTAGCTGCTACAGTACCGAAAGGCCAAGTTAGAGACTTCTAGAAGTGGCCTTTCGGAGTTAGCCTGCGTTCAGCAGAGGCAAGTGGTCAAGTGGTGGGAGGCCACCTCGCTGAGTCAACAGTCCCAGTTAGTCAGTCCGGTCCTGTCCAGCAAGTACCGTCTGGGACTGTGTGCACATCGTGGGCCAAGGGACACAGGGCAGACCAACGCAGCGCAGAAGTATAAATCAAGAGGCTGCGTCCAGCCATTCATTCATTCCTGCGGATGCCATGVGGAAGYGCTGCCTCAGCAGCTTGTGCGAGGAGGTCTGCAGTGTGCCYGAAGACGAAGTGGGCAGAGGAGTGTAGTATAGCGCTAGGGTAGTGGCAGCTAGCRCTGCCATAGCGGTAGTAGTGCATGTGTGTGTGWTGYGTGTARGTGCAGAGTGTTGTGTGWGGGACATCCAGGGTGATCCAGAGTGCGAGCAGTGAGTTGTGTGGGCGCACAGTCGCCATTGCCAGTTGGAAGAGAACTCTTATCTGGTCACGATATCTTTGAGTACTTTGTGGGCGCATGTCGCCAGTTTGCTGTATCGTTGTTTGCATGCATGACGAAGTGTGAGTAAGCCGAGTCTGATTGCACTGGTATCAGAGCAGGTACCCGCTGTTCCACGCACGCGTCGTATGCAGGGCCGATGTGCCATAGCTGAAGTGACCGCCGGTGGAGGCAGTCCGCCATAGCGGACCTCGAGGTGGAAGAAGCCGCTGCGCACCTGCATCAAGAGGA